CCCCAACATGGACACAACCACCCCCACCCTGACCATGACCCCCACCCCATCTTCCACCCCAACTGTCCCCACCATCACCACCAGCAGCAGCATTACCACCAGCGCAACCACCATGACAACCACGGTCACGAGTCCAGGTGAGTCTGTCTCCTTGGTGGCCCTCCATAACCACGTCCCTTTTCCCTTACCTGTGCCCAGCTTTCTCCAGGTGTCTCCTGGGGTTCCTCCAGGTGTCACAGCACCTTTGTTCTTGGTTTCCTCTGCCAGGTCAGTGCCAGAACGGTGGCACCTGGGACGGTGGCAAGTGTTTGTGTCCCGAGGGCTTCCAAGGTGACTTCTGCGAGGATCCCATCTGCCAGAATGGGGGCACCTGGGACAGCGGCCTCTGCCAGTGCACCAAGAACTTCCGAGGGGACAGGTGCCAGTTCATCAAGGACATCGTGGACATCAGCAACGGTAGGGGACTGTCCCAAGGTGCCGTGGGGCGGCCACCAGAGCAGGATCTGGGCTGAGGTCACCTTTGAGGGGTCAGCCAGGGGTTGGGAGCACTGTGAGGGTCTGACCTGGGATTGGGACCATCATGGAGAGACAGATGTGGGATGGGGACCACCTCAGAGGGGTCAACCTGGGGACAGGACCACCAAGGAGGGACAGATGTGGGATGGGGACCACCTCAGAGGGGTCAACCTGGGGACAGGACCACCAAGGAGGGACCAACTTGGGGATGGGGCCACCACGGAGGGGCTGACCCTGGGATGAAGTTGGGTCACCACCGAGGGACCAACCAAGAAACGGGGTCACCTTGGGGAGAGTGACCTGGGATTGGGGTCTCCATGGAGGAATCCCCTGGCCACAGTTCACCAGGGGTGGGATGGGGACAGCCAGGTCTCTTCCTCATGGTTGTCCTCTGTAGAGCCAGTGATGATGAACGCCACGGTGGAGATGAAGACCAAAATCGTCAACAGGAATTTGACTGATGAATTCAAAAATCCATCCTCAGATGCTTACAAGGACTTCGAGAAAATGTTCCAGGAGAAGGTCGGGACTCCGCAATGCCAGGGGTGGCCCTGGGGACAGTCCCTTGAGGGGGATGTGGGCGGTGATGGGCACCTGGCTCTTCCCTGGCTTCTCTTTGTCTTCCAGATGTTGAAGATTTATGGGCACATTAAGGACTACCAAGGTGTGGTCATCAAAAACCTGAGGTGAGTCTCCACCGGTGGCCAGGTGGGCTCCTGACCCTCTCCAGGGCTCCGGTGGGGTGGTTTGGGGTGAAGGGACCCATGGGGGTCAGTTTGAGGTGATTCCCCTCAAGTCTGGAGCATCTGCGTCCCTCCAAGCCACGCCGTGTCCGTGGGGTTCCTCCAGGACAGTCCAGCCCCGTGTCATCGTGGTGTCCCTCCACACTGGGGATCCCAAACTGGTCCCAGTTTGGTCCAGAGCCGAGCTCTGCCCCTTCTCCTCACAGCTCGGGCAGCATTGTGGTGGTCTATGACGCCCTCCTGAAGGTCAACCCCAGCTCCAGGGTCAACGACACGCTGAAGAACATCTCCAAGAACTTCGTCACTGCCTTCCAAAACTACACCGACTGCGATGAGACCTGCACAGGGGACAAATGTGAGTGAGCCCAGGGGTCATCCCACCACCGTCACCACTGTGACCACCGTGACCACCATGACCATTCCCATCAGGTGCTCGGACCAGCACCAGCTCCTCGCTGGGGGCTGCTGGCCTTGGGGTGGCCCACCAGCATCTCCTCTCTCCACGCCAGGTTCTTTCTGCTTCAACGCCGCTGCCACCGAAGTCCTCAACTACAGGCCGGAACCGTTGGAAGAAGGTAAGTGAAGCCCACGGGGGTGTTTGGGTGTGTCCGACCCTCCGGAGCACCCCAAAACCTGAGCCCCGTGTCCCCACCCTCAGGTCTGTGCGACACCTACGTCCAGGAGGGCTTCCAAACCTTCTACAGACCATCCCTGACGGACACCGGCATCGTCTGCGTCACGCCCTGCGATGCCCGCCACGCCCACCCCCTGCCCTGCGTCCATGGCAGCTGCTCCGTCAGCCGGGCGGGGCCGCAGTGCCAGTAAGGACCCCAAAAACGGGTGGTCTCCCCTCCACATCCCGTGGGTGTCATCGTCACCATCCCCATGATCTGCTCACCATGGTGACCCCCGTGATGGCCTCACAACTGTGACCACCCCATTCCCATGACCACGCCCAACACCGTGACCCCCATGATGACCCTAATACCGTGACCACCCAACCATGGCCATGATGACCACAACCCCCCCACCACCACCATGGCCACCCTCACCATCCATGAACATCATGACCCCTATATCAACCCCACTGCCATGATCCTCATGGTGACCCCACCACCATGACCCCCATGACTGCCAGAACCCCCCATGACAACCCCCAACACCATGACCTCCATGACCATGGTGACCCCACCACCATGACCACCATGACCACCATGACCACCATGACCACCATGACAACCCCACTGCCATGACCTCCATGACCTCCATGACCATGATGACGCCACCACTATGTCCATGGTGACCCCACCACCATGACCACCATGACCACCATGACCACCCCCACCAGGTGTTCGGACCAGCTGATCTTCTGGTACCAGGACAAAGCCTGCAGGTCCCGTGTCAGCAAGGTGGGCGTGGCCGTAGGGGTTCCGGTGGCCATCTTGGTCCTGGTCACCACCATCTTCACCGTCCTCCTGCTGAGGTCTCGGCGGCAGAAGGAACAGTACAGGTAAATGTGTCACCGTGGGGTGAGCCGGGGGGTCCCGTGGTGGTCCCGAGTCTCATCCGTGTCGGTCCCACCACGCAGGGACAGGCTGAGGTCCCGCTCGGAGCTGTACAGCAGCGAAGATGAGAACTGGGACGCATCGCAAGGCTTCGCCGCGGGGAACCCGGCGGCCACCTGGGAAGGTAATGGGGATGGAGGTGGGAATGGAGGTGGGGATGGAGGTGGGGATGGAGGTGGGGATGGAGGTGGGGATGGAGGTGGGGACAGCGTGGGGGTCTCTGTGGCACCCAGGGGTCCACGGCATCTCTTCTTCCACCCCCCAGACATGGAGACCTCCAGCACGCCCTACATCAACCTGGAGATGGTGGACACCTCGAGGATGGTGGGTGACACCGCCCCTGATGTTGTCCCCCTTTTATCCCCCACCCCATCATCATCATCCTCCCCTCTCCTTCCTCCCCAGATGCACATCCGGAGACCGACCGTGGTCCCACCAGTGGGGCCACCCGAGAGCCAGCGGGGACAGGACACGGGGACACGGAGACGGGCGGAGGGGGGACACAGGGACACGAGGACATAAGGACACGGGGACACGGCGGTGATGAGCAGCGGGAAATCCACCGTCCTCTTCCTCCCCGCGCAGCTGTTTGCACAGAGAGCTTTTTATAATTAATTATAATTAAATATATCCTTTGTTTTATTGTCACCTCTCCGCTTCCTGTTGGGGACACCGGGTGGCTGCGTGACGGGGCGGGGGCTGGGCTGGGGACGCAGATCCAAGGAAAACACATTTCAAAGAGGAACAGAAATTAATTGGGGGTGAGTTAATTGTTGACCGAGCGATCGGGAACCGCCCTTGGGACACCCCGACCCCGCTGGGTGACGTGTGTTGGGAGAACGTGTCCTTGTCCCCAGCCCTGGAATGAAACCCTGGAGGTTCCTCCACACCTCATTCCCACGGGGACAAAGGGCTCGGAGCAGGGGGTGGGGCAGCTCTGGTGGCTCCAGGAGGAGGGGACACTGAGAGGGTCCCCAGGTGGTGCCACCCATGTGTGGGGGGGACACTGAGGGGGTCTCAAGGTGGTGCCACCCATGGGTGGGGGGGACGTTGAGGGGGTCTCAAGGTGGACAATCGACCACCATGACCATGCTCCCCACCACTACCATGACCACCACCCTCACCACCCTCACCACCATGACCACCATGACCACCATGATCACCATGACCACCCACCCTCACCACCATGACCACCACGACCAGCCATGTCCCCCATGTCCACCCTCAATCCCATGACCCCCCACAACCCCCATGACCAGTCCCATGACCACCCCACCACCACCACCGTGACCACCACCACCCTCTCCCACACCACGGCTGGGGCAGGAGGACACGTCCTGTTCTCGTGGTGGCATTTGGCCTTCAGCCAATTCCCGCCCCACCTCCTCGGGCCAAAATCAACATTTTCATGTTTTTCATTCCACCCTTCTCGGCAGCCGGAGCCGGGGACAAAGTCCCAAACACCTGGAGGTGTGGCCAGGTGTGGCTCCAGACACACCTGGCAGCTGCTGGAATGTGGTGGGAGTGGCCCCTGCTGGAGCGGGGGTGGGGTCCAGGTGGTCATGAAGGTGTCACCCCCAAAAGTAGCTCCAGAAGGGTGGTGGGGGACGTTTGTCCGGTCCCCAGGCTGTCGTTGGGGTTGTACCAGTACAAACCAGTGACACCAGAGACGTTTGAGTGACTTCATTAAGAACGAGAGGGTCCAGCCCCCTTTTTTGGGTCTGGGGGGGTCCTCACCCTTGGATTTGGGGACGGAGGGAGGTGGGGACATGACCTTGGAGGTGGGGACATGACCTTTTAGGTGGGGTCAGGACCCAAAAGTGCTGCTGGAGGTGAGGTCACATCCTAAAAGTGGGGTCATGACCCTCAAAGTGCTCACAGGAGGAGGATGAAGATGAGGGCAGGGGGTCAAGGTCCCCCCCTCCAGCCCAGGAGAAGGTCCAGGTTGTCCTGCAGTGATGGGTGGGACCTCGTTCCATGGGGGTGGTGATGATGATGATGATGATGATGATGATGACGATGATGATGATGATGATGATGATGACAATGATGGCGATGATGGCGATGATGATGATGATGATGATGACGATGATGATGATGATGGTGAGGTTCTGGTGGTGGAAATCACCACCCCATGGGTGCTCCCCACCCCACCACATCTCAGAACTTTGTGATGAGCTTCTGCGGCCGTGGGATTTGGATCTGTTGGGATGCGCCGGAGAAGATCCGGGGGACATCGGGGCGTCAGGAACATCTGGGGTGTCTCCACCGCCCTGGTCCCACCACGGCGGGAGGGCAGAGGGAACTCACCGGCTTCGATGTGTCCACGGCCTCAAGGTGGACTGGATGGTCACCCTCGAGCTGGACACCTGTGGGACAGGGGGGCTCAGCGGGGGTGGGGATGGGGGACACCAACCAACCCCATCACACCAGTGGGGTCACCAGAGACCCCCCACCCACTCCACACCCACCTTGGTTCTGGAAGGTGAAGCTTCCTTGGGGGCTCCACTCCTCGCTGGTGTCCTGGTACCACCTCTCCATTATCTTCTGCTCGGCCCTGGGGACGGGACAGGGAGTGCGGGGGGTCACCATCAGCAGGTCCATCCCTGCCTGGACCACCCCCAGCTCCTCCGTACCCCACAAAGCACTGATGTCCCTCCCACCCCTCAGGACCTCATGGAGGATGAGGAACATCTCAGGAACCAACACCCCAGGGAGACCCTCCCAAACCTGTCCCCTCTCACGTGTCAAAGGACCCGGATCTGCGAGCTCGGATGAGGAGGACGGAGAGGACAGCGACCACGGTGACCAGGATGGCCACGGCCAAGCCCAGGCCCACAGCCAGTTTGCTGACCCGCGACGTGCAGCGGTCATCTTGGTACCAGTACAGGTGGGTCTCATCACAGCTGGTGGGGGGGACACAAAGAGGTCAACCCAAAGCTGGGACCCCCAGAAGAAACCCCTCCCACCCCAACCCCCTTCCTGCAGCCTCAAGCCCTCCTTGAAGCAAGGCTCTGCTCCACCTCGGGGGTGTAACCCTGGAGATGATCGTGGAGATCCATCAGAAGGTTTGGAGCCGTGTAGAGGAAGACCCTACACCCACCTCAATGACTTTTGACCTCTTGTTCTGCAGAGAAAACCTCGGAGCTGGGCCTGGAGTTACACCAGAAGGGTTCAGATCCACCTGGACCGAGACCCTGCTCCAACTCTGATGGTTTTTGACCTATCTCCACGCACAGAGGAGCTTGGAAAGGATTCTGAGGATCCACCAGAAGGTTGGATCACGTAGACCATGAATCTGCTCCAGCCCTGATGATCCCCGATGCATTCCCATGCAGCAAACAGCTCGGAAATGACCATGGAGATCCACCAGAAGGGTTGGGTCAGGGTCCCATGTGGAGGAGGAGGAGGAGGAGGAGTTTCCTCCAGCCCTTACAAGCACTGAGGACCTCTGAGGGTGACGTGGCACATGCCGCGGTTGCAGTCGATGGTGCTGGCGGTGCCGGGCGTGCAGTTGGACATGCAGGACAAGCCGGAGCTCGTCAGGTTGGGGAAGAAGAATTCCCGGTAGCCCTCGGGCGCTTGGCTCCGGCAGTAGGCTGGAGATGGGGGGAGAGGTCAACCGGGAAGGGTCTGGAGACCCCAGACCCAGGTGGGTCCCCACCCGCTTCCATCCACTCACCATCTTCGTCGAACTCCAGCGGGGTGTTGGTGACCACCACCTCGGAGGGGTTGAAACACAGGTCACCTGTAAGAGAGGTCACACTGCGGGGGAACAGCCCCACAGCCCCTCCCGGGGGTGTCCGGGGTGGTTTGGGTGGTTGGGAAGGTGTCCCCCACCCCAAGGATGGCCCTGGTTGTCCCACCCCCACGGTGGGAAGGTGACGAGGTACCGTTGGTGCAGTTGAATTGCGTGGCCGCCACCTCGATCTTCTCCTGCAGGGTGGACGTGATGTTCTGGAGCTTCTCCTGGCTCTGGGCTGTCACCAGCAGGGACACGATGGCGATGTGATCCACCACCACGCTGCCAGGCCTGGACAGAGATGCCACCATCGCCATCCAAACGCCCTTTTCCCGTGGAATGACCCCAAAACCCCGGTCCCACCAATCCCGGCGCTCACCTGAGTCGCTGCACCTGGATGCCCTGGTACCCCTCGAGGTCAGCGTAGACCGCATCCATCTGGAAGGGAAGATGTCTCCAGGTGGGATGGTCGGGTCTGTTCCCTTCTCATCCTCCAGGATCTCACTCATTTTGGATGTCCCCCTCCACCAAATCCACCCCGGTGGACTCGGAGAACACCACGTGAGAACCTGGAGAACTTGGAGGACTTGGGGAACTTGGAGGACAGCATCCGGCAGCTCCACCAGGTAGATCCCAACCCCAGGTGAGGGTCTCGTGTCCCTTTACCTGCTTGGTGAAGTCCTGGACGAACTGAATGTAGGTGGGCGAGGTGGTGTCCTCAAGCTCCTCAGTGAAGTCCCGGTTGGTGACCCGCAGCTCCACCTGCACCGTCCCGTTGGTCTCTGGGAATGTCCAAAACCAGGCCATGAAGGAGGTGGGGCAGAAGGACCTTCCCGGGCAGCTGGGACCCATCAGTCTCCCCCTAGACCCCGTGAACTGAGGGGGTGTCGTGAAGGAACCAGGAGGAACATCCTCCACCCATCAGAAGAGACCACCAGTGGCCCCACAGCTCCACTTGGTGATCCCAGTAAGGACCGGGCCATCTCCCATCTCCTCAGTGTCCCACCTGGTCCTCCCAGGTGGATCCTGACCCTGCTGATGGTTTGGAGCTGAGTCATCCCCCATGTCCCAGAACTTCTCAGGTGGGTCCTGCACCTACCCCACCCTCAGTGGGCAGCACCTGGTGGAACCACCCCCTCTTCCCAGATCTTCAGGTCCTGAGAGACTCCGACACCCCTGCAGAGGAGGTTCTTTGGGATACGCTCACCCCCACCTGGAGAACATCTCCAGATGGTCCTCACCCAGTCAGATCTTATCCCAACAAGGGATGCATTCCAGAAAAAGACGGAATTCCTACCGGCGTTGGTTTCGATGGTGTTGGTGACGTAGTCACACCTGTCCCCGGTGAAGGTGGGGGGACACTGGCAGTGGTCGTTGACCCAGGTGCCCCCGTTGTTGCAGATCCCTGGAAGGAGAGAGGATGGAAAAGGAACGGGAAGGGACAGGGAAATGCGCCAGGGAGGAAGGAGAGGTGGGACGTACCTGGAGTGGTGGTGGAGTGGGGAGTGGTTGTGGTGGTGGTTGTGGTGGTTGTGGTGGTGGTTGTGGTGGTCCTAGGGGTGGTGCTGGTGGTCCCAGGAGTGGTGCTGGTGGTTCTAGGGGGGGTGGTGGTGGTCCTAGGGGTGGTGGTGGTGGTCCCAGGGGTGATGGTGGTGGTCTTAGGTGTGGTGGTGGTCCTAGGGGTGGTGGTGGTGGTCTCAGGAGTGGTGCTGGTG